AAAAAAAAAAATTCCCCAGAACATTATGACCAGGAAGTCAGTGATACTCTCTCTACTTTAGTTCTAGAACCACATTACCAGGAAAGTTCAAAAATTTTGCCGCCAGAACCCGAACTATATGTATAAGTTAAACAAAGTCGAAGGCATTTCCAATGACGAACTTCATAAAGAACGGAGCATCCTAGGAAGAATAGAAGATCTACATAACCCAATTTTCCTGTGATTTGTTAATTCACATCGATAAAACCAGTTGTGTGGAGAGAAAAGCCAGGTCAAATAATTGTTTTGCAATATACCCAACTCCTAAACGTCAGAGAACTTCTGATGGTGGGGCAGGAAATTTTTTATAAGTACCTCAGTCATACCATGCCTCAGGATACGATAATAAACGGGTACAGATGTGTGCTTTATTGAATATTCAATCTCATTTCAGGATCCACTTAAAGCATGTTAGGGATGGCTAATAATCTTAATTTATATGAAGAGAGAGAAAGAGTACAAGTCTGGCCACTTTTTTCACTCTATATTTAAGGTTATAAGCCAATTTGCAAACATCTTCCCCTCTACAGAGATAGAGGAGTATGTGTGTGTGTTACCAAACTAAACTTATTTATAAGAAAATTAAGTCATGTTCATCAGATGACAAACACGAGCATTTGACTACCCCACCCCTCTGCGAAACAACCTGGGTCCCAACCGCTGGCATGGAAACTTGTTGGAGGCTAATCCGAGGGCTTGTAAAAGCTAAAACATCAAGTAACCAAGTTTAACCACTCAAATCCTTGTACAATTCTTCAACAATTTGCACCTATGTCATGTGGTGTGGGGAATTATACTCCCCCTCCACAAGCACAACCCTCCCCGGACCCCTCCCCCACCCCCCAAAAAAAATAAATAAATAAAAAATAAATTAATTAAAACATTGAGTCAGTTACCCAGGCCATACTCAACACACAAATAGAACGTATGGGCAGATACAGATGGCTGGAACTCCCAGATCACTATGCAGCTCATTTGGTAGCAATAGCTCAATGAAAGTGAAAAGAAGATCAAACAGACTCATTGCAAAGATAGAATTACCAAAATAGAATTTCACCTTCCTAGATAGATATTGATCGTACATGGTCAGAAGGCCCAATCTGAACACAGGTTCAGTTGCAAAAACCGGAGCAGATAGTCCTAGTTGCTTCATTGCATAAGGTAAAGCGCCCAAATGAAGTGTGTCGGGATGTGATAGCAAGACAGCATCCACAGTTGAAGCTACCCTGATCACAATTGCAAGCTTCCTCAGCATAGAAAATCAGAAGTGGTAATAAGAGTTTATTGCTATACAAGAACTATCCAGACACAGAATCCTACTAAATCCAGGGAGCCAGCGAAGAAAATGAAAACAGAATAACTCATAAAATCAACAACTCAAGTCTTTCTATTAGGGCCCTGCTTCAAGGCACCAACCTGCCTAAAGCTTATATAGTCTCCCTACACGACGAGCCAATTCATCTTAATAGCAACAAATATCAAAATTCATCACCAACATACCATTTCCACTTAAATCATGTAGTGCAATTTCAAGTGAAGGTGTTGAATCGACGGTATGCAATAATTAAAACCAACCCTTGCAGTCCTTGAGAGGAAAGAACCTATTTCTTTCTAAAGGCGGCCTTTCACAGTCTGCATTATGAATTTTATTTACCTTGAATTCGCAATGGAAACATATGTGCAGTAAACTACTCAAAAATGTACATAAGTATAACCTGGAAAGAGGTTGAAGCAGGGAGGTATCAAAGTGGTCGTTCCAACCGCAATCAATGAGGAAATTGAAGCCATCGACTGAGACTAAATAGGAAAGTGGGTTCTCATTGTACACTCCACACAGTGGCTTCACTTGCACTGATGTTCCCATTTTTCTTTATGATTTTCCTTTGATTCTCTTTCTCTGTTTACGAAAAACTGTGCTTCCTGAATCAATTGTGAGGATTTTTCTCTGTGTATAGAACTCCGGTGGAGGGAATTTGGGGAAGGGTTTTAGAAGTTGAAAAGGGAGGATCCGGTTTAGATAGGAATGAGAACCGGGTCAGATCGCGGGCTAGCCCAATGTAAAATGGACAAGAACCTGGAACCGAATCCATTGAAATATATACATTTTGTTTTCATAATCATAATTTTAAAAGAGGAAATTACGTCAAGAACTTCAAAAACTTTTCAAATTTTAATTACAATGTATTTTTTATTCCACGAATAATGACTTTCGTTGAAAAAACGCACGTGCACATAAATAGAAGTAACAAAGAGGGGAGAACGAGATTTACGAGGGTGTATTCAACTAAGATTTTTAACGACTTTTATAGATTTTTTAAATTTAAAGTGGGTGACTTTCGTAGACTTTGTGAACTTTTAAGTGATTTCTATGGATTTGATAATAATTAGTAAAAAAAAGTTTATCATCGATTTCTATGGACTTTTACAAGAAACTTTTAAAGATTTTTATTTTTATTTTTAAATATTAAATATATATAATGTAGTATTTTTAAACGACTTCTTATACATCCAAATCATCCACTACTCATATAATTGAAAATGCAAAGCAATAAATTGTATTTTTCATGTCAATTTTTTCCCCAAAATAAAAAATAAAAAAATCTAGTTACATCAAGTAGATTAACAAATAATCAAAATATCAAAAAATTTAATAGTATTTTAGCAATGATCAACCAAAAAAACATGAAACATTTTCAACATCATTCCACGTATTAGCCGCTATAGAAGCCCTCCATGCATTAACATTCTATCCTTGTTCTTGACTCTCAAAAAATGGTCCAAAGTCTTCCCCCTCATTAATCGAAGAAGACGAATTTTCATTGTCTAGTTCAATTGGGAATTCATCAGAATGACACTTTTTATGGAGAAAATTGTGTATTCCTACACAAGCTAATATGAGTTCTGCTTGTATACGATATGAAAATTGAGGAGCCATTTTGGAAATTTTGAATCTCGATTAAATATACCAAATATCCTCTCAACTACATACCTCAAGGAAGCATGACAAAGATTAAACAACTCTTTTGTATTTTCAGGGTCACGACCTCGATCAGTAAAATCTTAAAGATAATAATGGACACTTTTAGAAAGAGTTAAGAACTGACGTCGATTTGAAAATCCATAATCTCCCAAAAATATTTACCCGCATATAAATACTTGTAAAATTAACAAGTAACTTATAATAT